AATTTTACCGTACCTGTATGTAGGAGAGTTGATGGTGTAAGTGGAAGGGGAAGGAAAGAGATGTTATTGTTTAGAAAAGGGGAAGGAAAGACATGATCGTAGCTTTATTTATAAGAATAGTATAGATCGTTGATTTTGCCATATGAAACTGAGTAGGAAGAGACAATATCATCATCATAGAGACAATATCAATTGTTTTTCTCTTAACTTTTCTTTTTTTCTTTACCAGTATCACTGCTAACTTTCTTTGGAGCCATAACTAAGGACTAATGAAGAGAAAAAAGTCACAGTACAATAAAATTGGAAAAGAAAAACACAGCACAACACACGAATGTATACAACATGGCGGTCGACTAAGAAATGATTCCGTTCGGGTTAACTCAGTTCGGCTAAGTTCGGCTCAGTTCGGCAATGTTGTTCGAGACACCAAAATTTTGTTTGATAACTGAGGCATTTTCATCTCCAATATTCTGTTCGAAAACCGATTTATTCGACATGTGAGACGTTCGAGAACCAAGGTTGCACTGTAGTCTAAACAATCCAAAATGTGTTAAATAACCCACAACGGGTTGATAAGCCATAAAAAAACAAATCAGTTAATCAATCATGTATAGATAGTTATTGGTTCTGATATTTACATTAAATAAAAGAAAGAATTTGAAATGCAATATGCTCAATATACTTCCAATGCTTAAAAATCTTCTTTTATGATGTAGGCGGTAATGACTCTCCACAGCTTCGTTTTGCTTTTATACCTGTAAATTATCATGACTTGTTCGGAAAGATGGTGCAATGGTTTTCTATTGCCTTCTTCATGATTTCGAATTCAAAATTGCCCTTTTTCTAGATTGATTGCTATTATGGCCGACCATGGTTCCCTAACATTTCTTGACCTTTGTAGCTTTTAGTAAAAAATTTTATCATTCCTCTAACTTACCGTTCTGCTATCCATTCACATAAACATGTTAGATATCTGTCTAGATGCCTTCCCGGTCTTCGATATGTCTTGTGAGTGTCAAATTTTCCAAATTCTCTTTTTTCATTATATGTCGCAGAAATTCCAGCTTTCTTTCTCATTCTGAGTATAAATGATCTTGTTTGCATGTTCCTTAAGACTTCTCCGTTGCTTAAAAACTCCGTCCATGTCACATTTAAGATCAACTTTTAATGCGTGAGTTAATTGTCTAACATTCACTGCCATATAGCAGGATTGATATTACATAGCAGTCCAGCAATCTTTTCTGTTTCTGTTGCTTCAAGTCTCCTCCTTACCTGTGAGGAAATTGTCCAGCATTCATTGCATTATAGGAGAATTGATATTAGTCCAAAACTCTTTTTGTTTTTCTTGCTTCAAGTTTCCTCTTCATCTGTGTGGAAATTCTCCAGTATTCACTGCCATAAAGGAGGATTGATATTATATAGCAATCCAGCACTCTTTCTTCGTTTCCTCTTCACCTGTGAGGAAAGTGTACAACCCTTACTGCCATATAGGACTGATGTTACATAGCAATTCAGTCCCTTTTTTTTTCTTGCAAGGCGGGAGTGCCACTAGCACGCTAGGGATTACAGACGGTAAGAGCAAGTGTAAAGAGGTGTGTTTGAGGAAAGGATAAAGAGAAGGACGGGAAACAAGATAAGGTATCAGAAGATGTCGATTGACATTACACTTGAATATTTGAAGATTATAGTTACCAGGGAAGTAAATAAGAGGAAACGAGTTCCACAGACAGGAAGTGCGAGAGAAGAATCTGTTTGAGTAGAAGAGACGGTTACATTTAACTGTTTCGACAATGAAAGGGTGGGAAGTAATTTTCCTGTTTCTTAGTGGTTTGCTTCGCTTTTGTAAGACATCTTTCGTTTTTCCAATGCACCGCCGGATCTTGGTGTCACATTTACTCTTCTCTGTTGAATAACTTCCTAAATATTTAAACTTATGTACTTGTTTGATTTTAATATCTCCTATTCATAGCTCGCATTTTGGGCTTTTTTTTCTCTTGCTGGCGACCACACATTGTTTTATAACAACAGATAGTCCTTTTTTCTCGCCTCCTTTTACTGTCTAACCAAAGCTAGAATTTAGAAACTGTCTTGCTATTTAATCCATTTCTGGGGGGCGAGAAGCGATGGACACATGCTACTTACTATGGCATTAGTACGAAAGCGAATTTAACAGATTCGGTCAGAATTTGAACTCGATTTGCCGATTTCACTTTCTGCGCCGATAGCTGTTATACTACCTGCATGTCCATTTTCTATGCTTACAGTAACTATTAATTTATACAGCTGGTATCCTTGAATATGGTCGATTTGTCAGGAAGGACACTTCCTGATGATATCGGTCAGGAGGGGGCAATCCCAGCGTGCGACACCATTGGAAAGTGCCTGAAAACCATACCACGAGTAGACCCAAGCCTTGTGAGTGAAATTGGGTAGAGGGTACCCTTGGGGGCCGTCGATAGCTGTGCTCGCACGAAGTCCCAATCATCGAGACCGAGAGTTTGAGTGTGTTGGCTTAGTTCATGTTATGGTAATTTACCCACGCACGCATTAACTCTCCTAGCTATAAATAGGAGCAGGTACTGCCTTTTGAAGTTTCCAGCAGTCAGCTCTGACAGTCGAACCGAACATTCTTACTGTAACACTCTTGTTTTTATATGTTTGTATTACTGTTTCTGTTAATATATTTGTTTAACTCAATTCCTCTCTTTGTGTCTTTATTTCTGGCCCTAACAAGGACACAACAGTTCAAATTGTTGATCACGCTAGATAACACACTCTTTCCCAGAAACTATAACTAAGGTCTGCTCGGCGTAGTTGCTGTATAAACCACAGGTGAGCTATCTGGGTGTTGAATAAGCACAAATGTGCCTGAACAAGTGGTCAGCTATAGATGTTTGAATAGGGGGTTAGTAATTACTAAGAAAAATAAATATTTTCACGGCATACAATACAAAATAAAACAGAATTAAAAGAAACGGTGTAAAAAGTATTCAGAGACATTGGTTTCATTAACACTTATTCTTAGGTACCTAATACAAGAGGAGAGTCTTAATAATCGGGGTGCTCGAAATGTTCTCATTATACAGTAAACGGGTGTCTCAATTAAAGGGTGGTCGGACAATCGTTTAAAAGGTTACAAAGTTTGAAATTAATAAACGGGGTGGGCTTAATAATTTCGGGGAGCTCTCCTCTCGGATTCTTACGGAATGATTAGCAGAGGAGGAGAAGGGTTTTTTCCCCCCCGTCGGAGTAGATGCTGCGGTTGTAATATCTGTTCCGTGCCAGAGGCCTTCTCTCCTCCATTGCGTTCCCATCACCGTCGGGTGACATCTGTTACATAGCGGTGGTATGACCAGCTTAGACCAGCTATGACCAGCGGCCCAAGTGAAAACACTCTGGTCCCCACGTTAAAAAACGACCTTGTGTCACAACCTGGCTCAGTCGTGGGGTGGAGGGCGGTAAATCTCGGGTTTAATAAGTTCGGTGGGGTGGGGGATCGGAAAATCCCCACCTCCACCCCAGAATGAATAAAAAATAAAAAAATATTCACCCCCATCTTATTATGTATCTAAGATTACTTGCATGGTTTCTGTTCGCAGTTCTTTTTCTTCTACGTGCTGTGTTCCTTCAAGTATGGACGATCATGGCTCTCCACACCTTTCTATTTTTTGTAACTCTTAGTTAGATTTGACTTTTTTTCCACCATCCATTTACAAAAGCTCCTTTGTTAAGAAGGCAGGTAGGCTACTCTCTGCTTTCCTTTGTCCCTGTTGCCTTCAATATGTCCCGTGATTTCGGAAACTGTTGTGGATTCCGAGATGAAATTCGGTCTCCAATGAATGACAAACGCAGAAATTAAAGATAAGAAATTAAATGTATTTACACAATAATACAAAGGGTAATTCTGTTAGTAAATCCAGGAACGCGGTTAGTAGCAATAATATATAGATATATACAGTCTCGAAGTAGGTCTTCCTTTCCATCTACGTGCTTGTAACTGACTTCTACAAGCGGTTTTACCTCACACTATTACTCTACCTCCAACTCAATCACAATCTCAGTGTCAATCTCGGTCCGCGTACTCTGATTGACTCTGGGTATTTAACGGCAGTAGACCAAGTAACGCTGGTAGAGTCCACCTGCATGAAAAAGGGGAGGACCCCATAACAGAAACGAGTTCCATAATACCGTAATTCCCCATGTATAATACGCATTTAAAAATACTAAGCAATAAATTAAATGCGTATTATGCACAGCTTTTCCAAAATGCCGTTTCATAGGTCGATTTCAGTTGCAGCGAAATGACTACTTTTTTTTTTTATACGACAATTTGATACTAACATTCGGCGATTGTAACCCGATAAGGATGTCAAATACAATCATATGTACCTAACAATACTTACAAATGTAAAATAAAATCAGTATTATCATGAAACTAAAGTAGAATAAAATTGTGTAAATTGCTCTCGAGAAGTTTGTATTACGTTTATTTATCATTTCTCAGTTGCGTCTCTGTCAAAGGAAACAGTCGCAACTGAGGAAAATTATACTGAGAGGTGCCCAGCCTTGGGGAACAGCTGCCTGAGGCCATGCCCTCCCACTGAACCAGAGGAAGGGATCGGTGTTCTCACCGAGGCCAGCGCAACCCACGGTTGCGTTGGCTGCGAGCAATTTTTGTTCCTGGCCCATGTAAATTAAATTTCCCCACCTTCAAAAATTACCTTGTGTCACAACTCGTTTTAGTGGGGAGACAGCGTAAATACCTAGAATAATATTATTCTATGTTTAAAACCATTTTTTTAAAAAGAGTTGGAAACGCTGGCCGTAATGAAGTTGGAGAGGTACAATTTATAGGGATGTGATTACCAAACAAGGGGCGCGTATTATGCGAGAGTAGAAGCATTTCCCAGTACAATTTTAGATGTGCGTATTATGCATGGGGAATTACGGTAATTCACAGTCCTTTCACGGCATTCTTTGAAAATCGTGCTTACGTCCATCCATATCACGTTGAAACACCAGTTCTCGTACGATCACCGACGTTAAGCAACCTCGAACCTGGTGAGTATCTAGATGGGTGACCGTTTGCATATACCAGGTGCTCTAAGCTTGGATGTGTGGGTGGTGCAATGGATAAAGGCTCGGCATTGTTCATTGGAGAGACCGTGTCTCAATTCAGTTAGGTTCGTTATATTCACTTCCTCGCAATTACTATTGGGAAAGCTATGAATCCACCTCTTATCCCCTTAGCTATGGGTTAATTAGTAAGACCTGTAACACTAAACCATTAATATCTCCGCACCAAAAAAAGATTCTTATAATCTAAATTTGTTTTTGCTTTAAATCACCTACAAATAAGACGTAAAAAACGGACAAGTCTTTGGAAATCAAATTTGGTGGAGTAGGTTACCAGCTCTTAAAAGGTGTTTTTAATTTTGGTAACACTCTCTATATATAATGCGTTGGCATTTTGGTATTGAGCACTTTCACTTGGTGTGTCATTTTAATATACTCTTCCGGGAGTTAATTTCGTGCGATATGCGTGTTCGCGCATGCGTGATCATGAACACACGTATTCACTTCTTTTTTCTTTTCTTTTTTATAAGCACGTTAATAGCAAAGCGTATAAAATAGGAATTACTTGTCCGATCAGTTCGTGGCTCAGTCTATTAAGAAAGAGAAAAATTTTATGTATTCATAACAACAGTTCAAAAGTTTGAAGCGACCCCTAGTAATTTTTTAAATTGGCCACAAATGTAGTTGTTTTGTATTTTAAACATGAGAAAATTATTATACATAGTTGTGACATGATCTTTTATTAGAAATTTCATCATGGCAAAAAGAAAAAATGCAATTTCTGATTAAGTTTTGCTCTCGTCAAAACGTCTTCTTTTATCGTTGATTTCTGCAGCACAAATTTTTAGCATTCGTTGCAAAAGTTTCTCAAAGTATAAGTTTGATAATTTATTCCATTCTTTTTTCAATGACTCTAAGAGCTCTTTTTCGTTTTTTCTTTTACTCTTCTCTCAAGTTTATCCCATGCTAATTCTGGGGTTGCTTCAAACTTTTAAACGGTAGTGTGTGTGTGTGTGTGTATATATATATATATATATATATATAGAGAGATATAGAGATAGTCGACTCTCCCGTCGAATTCGACGTATGAGGGTCAAGCAGATCAGTTCCCAGGAAACCGACAGCCCGACAACAGCACATGAGATTTGATTATAGTGGTGAAGGTTTCGTGCAGGACCATCCACACTTTTTGAAGGGCCGAATTCAGAGACCTGGTGCACTAAGTGCCACAAGGTCCCCAAACATCCCTTCGCAGGTTTTGAATTTAGTCTTGTCCTTCTCTTAGACCAGTTGCCATCCAAGGGTATAGAACCCAGTCTGTCCTGCTATTTTACCCATAGCTGGAGGGAGAAGAAGAGGATTCACACCTTTCCCAAGGGTATTAGCACGTAAGTGAATGTAATGGATTCGACTGGAATTCGAACTCGGCTCTGCGATTCCTCAACCCAAGCCATTACTATCCATTACCCCACCGTGCCTCCTCATATATATATATATATATATATATATATATATATTACACAATCATTGTTCAGTTAAACTAGTAAAAGTATTAGTTATAATTATATTTTATAATTATATCTTATAATATTATTCGAATTTCATAGATGAAAGGAATGAATATGGTAACGCAGATGACACCTCAAAAGAAAAACGTTAATAACGAAGCGTATAAAGCAGTAATTGCTTGTCGAATCACTTCGTTACTCTGTCTTTTAAGAAAGAAAAATGTATGCATATGTTTTATGTATAGATATTCCAGTGAAATTACGCAGTGAGCAAAGTATGTAATTGCTTTATCTGAGACATTTCAAGTCGCTTATTTGTCATCTGAGTTAAATTTTCATTGGTCATTTTCACAGCTATGTCTTTCCCATCAGAGTTGAACATGTCTTGAATGGAAAACAGAATATATGCGCTACAATACAATAAATCAATCCCCCGTCACTCGCATTTGTTTAATTCTTAATACTTGGAAGAAAATGAAAGCCATACATCGAATATGTCAGAACATGTGGGATATAACTCGGGATAAAGCCATCTAATTTTTGTATTCATTTTCTTGGTTGTCCTTCGGGTCCGAATAAAAAAAAATTGTCTTCAAATTCATCAGTAGATCCGGTTGAAGCTTCAAAACAGAATTTATATTGGGGAAATTGTTACACTGGGTTAATCCCACTCTCAACCTGGGGAGTCTTTATCCGGTAGCACGAGGAATCGTTGCAAACGCAGACTTCTACGCAGACTTCTACGCCGAAGTAGATAACAAAGAGGATTTTTTTTTATTAGTCAGTCGTAAAGCGAGGAATATAATTTCTGTACTCGTAAAGTATAAGTATATATAAAGTATAAGTATACACACTTTCACAATGCAAACACATGTGATTGTGGTGTACTCCGAACGCCAAAGAAAAAAGGTTTCTGCATTTATATTTGGTTATTATTTTAATTATGGGTCCCACGTTCTCTCTATCCCTCTTGCTTTCTTTTTTTCTTTGTTTCTTTCTTACCCTCTCATTAACACATACACACATCCACATTTGTCGTGAAGTAATGGTTTGAAAACTTATCTTACAGACCAATCATAAGCGCAGGCCGATCCTCACTGGGTGTCCTACAGCGTAAGAGGCGTCTAGATCACGATTATTATTGTTGTGAGTTCAATCCAACTGTGAATTTTAGTGACTAATAAGTCATATATTTAAAAAAAAAACTTATATATATATATATATATATATATATATATATATATATATATATATATATATTTGAATAAAAAACAGACCACTTTAAGGTTTCATGTAATAAAATTATTTCAAATACAGCCCTTTTAAAGGGCTCTGGATCATCAGACTTTACTTCCAAAGGTTGAAATGAAAAATCAAACATATTTGCTCTGAATTTACATTGAGCTCTCTGGATATCATCTTCCTTGGGTCTACCCATACGGATTACCTAGTTTTGCATAAACTATATATATATATATATATATATATATATATATATATATATATCAGTGAACATGGAAGTCAACATTCAGGGGTAGGGATGCTGTTTCATGCTAACGAAATCGTCATGCGGCCTGATATATATAATATGAAGGTTTCTGTTTTTGCCGGGCTGATTTCATTCGGCTGTTTTGTCAATGAAATTGTCATTATTTAGGAATAAGTTTCCCGCTTCGGATACAAATATGCGTTTCAGATAAAATCTCCTATGACCAATTTGTTGGAAATTTTGCAATACTCTCCGGGCTAATGCGAAAAGCAGCGAAAATACCCAATACTTAATAGTTACAAGCATTAACTGAATATTAGTAGAGTACAAGACCAGTTGTTGATGTGGAACTATTGTCTAGCGCCAAGTGAAGAGGGTCTATTTGATTTACAAATCAGCATCTGAAATCCGGGTTTCTTACTAAACCACAAAAATCAGCGTCTGGTGTTGTTTTGTTTTTTTTACATGGAGGCGAACGTATATAATAAAGGATCCCACAAATTCTATTGGCGAAGGGGCTTCTTAAGACCTAAATACGTCTCTAGTTTATATATATATATATATATATATATGGGGAGGGGGTATAAAAAATACTTTTATAAAGTTTAGGGTATCCCTCACAGCAAAACAAAGACAAAAGTCCATATAATCTCTAGTTTTTTATATATATATATCTTTATAAAAATACTTTTATAAAGTTTAGGGGGTTCCTCACTCCAAAACAAAGACAAATGTCCATATAACCATATGTCCAAAATTCCTTCGTTTTTGAATTATAAAGTTTAAAGAAAGTTTACGGTAGATAGCGCTGTGCTGCTATGTAGACTAGCTTACATTTGTCAGTCGTGTACATTTGTGGTTAGTCTGTCTTCAACGTTTAACGTGTGTAGTAGTGAGCTAAGAAGTGTTCTGTTTAACAATGGCAGAATATTTATATTGTGAACAGGCAGATATGATTTTTACATAAGGCCACCCGAATGGTGATGGATAAGTGTATCAGATTGCGTTTCCAGCCCATTCATCCGTTGCTGCTGTTTATCGTCGCGCTGCTGAGACAGGATCCGTGGCATCACAAACTATGGATCGAGGAAGACTGAGATCTGCTCGTACGCCTGACCCGGAAGAACACATTCTACAGGCCGTCGATGGCGATCCAGGTATCAGCACACGTCAAGTGGCCATAGCATATCGCATAACTCATAGTACCGTATGGACGGTACTTCCACAGCAGCTCCTGTATCCGTATCATTTTCAACGTGTGCAGGGTCTTTCTCATTCTGTTCACTCATCACGAAAGAACATTGGCCGATGTTTTATTACATAAACTGCCAATCCCCGTTGTTTGTCTCTTCTGTCTTGTTTACGGATGAGGCAACATTTGGAAGAGATGGAATAACAAATTTACACAACCAACATTTGCGGGCGGATTGGAATCCCCATGGTACAATAAAGGTTAGACACCAGCATCATTATGATTAATGTGCGGGATGGAATTATAGGTGACTGGTAGGTCTATATGTTCTCTCAGCACATCTTACAAGAGCTGTCTACAGAGAGTTTATTTCCAATACACTTCCCATACTGCTAGAGGATGTACTATTAACCATGTTCACCATAGTCTATGAATATAGAATACAGCGCAGTACGTAATCTGTTCAATGAAACAACGTTAAAGATTAACACTCACGAGTCAGACACTCTACTGAATCTGACTATATCGCCAATACCACCAGCAGCTGTTCCGTAATTCTTCAGTCTTCGATATCAAAGGCTAGCAGTGAATATTAGGAAAGAAACATGGCCGCCTTTATACACGTCGCATTGAATATTTTGAGGCTTCTGATTGGTTAACCCTTCTATCGGTGAACTATAAAATGAGTCAGCTCATTTTGGCTGGCTCACTAGTACACCAAGGTACCCAAAAATTCTAACATGTACCTCTGCTAATTCGAAGACGCATGAGGTCTATGCATGATGGGGATCCAGGACGTTTTAGTCATATTGTGTTGTGGCCCTGTTAGGGTCAGAAA